CTACGCGGGTAAGCGATGCTTCCCCCCGGTTTATTTTTCGGCGAAAATGCAGAACTAGTGGTATTCGTTGAAGTGAAACCACGATCAGTTGCGAGTTCTTCTGCGTAGCACACTGCTAAATTCCGACCGAATCAGGAGATGCTGTGTTATGTAAGTTTTAATTTGGTAAATGGCGTCTCTCGTTGCCTCTAAAGCGAATCTTTACGGAAATGGTCTCTATAGTTTTTAACGGTTTCGATGTCGAATGCGCCAAGCTGCAAGCTTTTATCTACTTCGGCTAAACGATAAAAGTAGCTTGTTATGTACAGTAATGAATGAAACGGTCTCTAAGTATCATTGCCCGTGATTGTGTAAGCGGAAAACTCGTTTTAGAGACTAGAGTTTTTTGCTAACGAGTAATTCAGACTCTATGGACGTGTATTTTTTGTTAGAATTTTGATTTCTTGCCTATTTTATCGCACATCCTTCCCTGGTACAGTTCAAAGACAGCCCCCCCCCCTTGTGATCTCACCCAAAACGAAATATATATAAAACGCTGTCGAGGAATTACCATAACAAAGCATCAGACCCAGGCGCGTCGGGCGAAGGTCGGAATAATTTGGGTACGCGCGAAATAGGGAGAAACCCGCTGCCCCCCTCGCATGGATTAAAACGAAGCTTTGACTGAAAAAAATCAGTTAAACAATGAAAATGCGAATTCGACTCGCTAATACGCAATAAAAACTTTTATTATAAGCCATAAACGCGAATGTTTCGTATAATTCAAATTTAATCAACGCGTCCACGGCAATTTAATACCACGCGCATTACAATATTCGTTATTATTATTTAAATGTCGACGGCAGACGTGCGTGTTTGCACAAAAATAATTTACAAAAATAAATAAACGGGCGTGCGGGACGGGGTCCGATTTGATTTTATGAAAAATTTGAAACCGTTTTGTAGTAAATATAATGTTCGTTCGCTTGCAAATTTGCTGTCTTACCAAAATGTTGCCAAAAAGAAAAATAAAATTATGTTACATCTATTGTATTACAAAGTGCTTCTTTCGGCAAGAAATGTATTACTATATATAACTTAGCAGGCGTTCGGTTGGAAAAACCTAACGTTCTAACGACCGCACGCTGCGGTCCCTTCCGTACTCGCTACTATTTTTACATAACTCCGTGAGCTATGATGCTCATCTCTTCGCATAACGTCCGACTGTGCCAAAATCGCAAATCTAACGACCGTACTTTGCTTTCCTTTGGGCGTTCATTTTTCGATTTTTACTGCAGGTACCATGTACATAGTCGTCGTGAAAAACAGCTGCACGCGTTTCCATCAAAAACATGCCTCCTGGCACGTCGAGTTTACAGGAAGCAATGACGTATTCATTTTTCACCACGTCCGGCGGAATAGTGTATGAAAAATTACTAAAGAACCGTCCACGTCGTCGGCACACGGGACGCAAATACCAGCCCTTTTTTTATATATAGCCATCCTCGTGTCAAAGCTTGGCTCTCTCTCCCATCTAATACCGTTATAATTCTCTTCTCTCCCGAGTTCCGCGACAATCTTTGAGAATTATACGCAAGATTAGGTATAAATTCGGGATTTAACGGGACACGTCTCGGTATGCATAAAATTTATACAGGCAAAGTTAACACTGGTAATGGATTGCCAACTTTATTTTAGGAAACAGGACCTCGTAATTTAAAGTCGTGGCGGCATACGTGTTTCATAAATTATTCAAAATCTTCTTTTTTTTCTTCCTATATTAGGAGTTCGGCCAATATATTTACGATATTTTTATGCTATTGAGTTGCCTCGCTATCTTTTGAAGGGAAGTTGTATAAAACTGATTTCCGACAATCTACTTAGGTAACCCCATCTATTATTAACTACTAAGTTACAAATAATAGTTCTGCAGTTCCTTCCTTAACAATGTTGTAATGAAAATGATATATCCAAGCACCGTCTGATTTGCGCCTGATATCTACCAGACAGGATCCCTCACTTTTGGAGTCTACTCGACATTTACGTATTGTAAATAATTATTATTGTGGGAGCGAAGCGCCACCTAGACTAAGAATGAAGAGGACTCTGTAAACTTTTGAAACTCAAAAACAAGTATTGCGTTTCGGTCGTTTTACATGCTAAAAGTTCGCGCATCCGTACTTCTCACCATAGATCATGTTCGGTCTACAAAAAGAAGACGAAATAAATTTACGCAAATATACTGATCCGTGAAGCTTGCAGGAAATTATATTTATTCAAATGGGACAACGTTGCATGCGGGCTCTCTCGGCTTTTATCTGCGTCGTCGTATTTTTCGTATCCCGCCCAACAATAGGGCTTTATACCAGGCGTCGCCTACTCTGATAGATATTTTCGTGAATCGATTCTCGTATCCTTTGGGCCAAATTGCATCGAAACCCCCGCAAATGTTCTACTAAATGCACTCGGAGTCTCTATGCTTTCAACCGTTACGACCAGTACGAAAATGTAGGCAAATCATCAAATAAAAAAAAACGCCTCTCGTTTAAATGAAAAACGACCTACGCGGCGGCCGCTTTTTAAACCCTCCCGCCAAAAAACACTCTAAAAACTGAGGAGTCTCGTTTGCGACGCGTTCTACTTATTTACCGCGTTATGAAAACATGGAGTCGTCGACGGGGCGCGATATAAATCCCAATTTTGGGGATAGGAAATTACATTACCTCATCACGTGCGCCGGTGAACCGCTGAATGGGTCGCGTTTCTGCGTGGGTCGTCCTTTTCTTATCCCCTTCGTCCCGAACAGCCTATTTTATATTAATACAGGAGTTTTCATCCATTTTTTTCTTTTAATTTGTCTTCATTAAAAACAGGCCAGGCCAAAGAATGACACAATAGCGGTCCAGATAAGATTAAGGATTGCAAATTAATTATTATTTCATTAACAAACCAAAAAGTCAGTGTCTCAAAACATTACTTATGTTCAGTTTATTGAAAAATGGCGCCAAGACAATGATGACGTATTCAGTTTTTGTCACAGAAACCCACATAGCCTACTACTAGCGTGGTGCGTTTTCAGACCATTATTTAGTAAGTACCAGATAGCGTAACCATTGCCATTAGATTTGAACAAACAATTTATTAGTCTCCTCGATTTTGACAGTTGACCTACCAAATCAAAAGGCCAATTTAACGGAGTTGCCTTATCGTTGAAATTTAGAAAAACTGATAGTTAATTGATGGCTTCTTCAGAACTTGACTGCCAAGCAGGAGAAATTCAGAAGTTTTGTAAAAAGTAATATATTCGAAATCTCTTGGTTATTCGATATTTTAGGTTGAGACTTTGGTTATCTGAGCTTTTGCTTCAAAATCTGTGTGATCGTATGAACTGGGTTTATCCTCGCCTTCCCTTAGGGATAGTCCCTTGAGTTTCCAAAGTAACGTGAATCATTCGGAATTCGCGATATTTTACGGTCCCCTCAAAATACACCATATAACTCTCACTCGCGGAGGCGGCGGCCCGCCATCTATCTTTTTTTTCTTCGGCGATGCGGCGGTTATCTTCGCGAAACTTCTTGATAGTGCGAGACTTCAGTTAAGCCGCCTTCAAAACCATAAACTTGTTTTAATAATCTAACCTCGACCACGCAGACGCTACAAAAACAATTGACTAACGCGCCGAACTTAATCAAAAGTTCGTTTTGGACCGTTTAACTTTTGGAGAGTTGCGGGACTTCTTCTTTATGCCGCCGGAGACTTTGAAAACATTCGAAACCAGTCTGGAACGGATCGGGTTCGCCAGCTCGCGCGCGTAAGCGAAAACGAATCGGAATTTTTCTAATACTAAAAGCGCTCGTAACTTACGAAAACTGACAATTATTAAAAAGTGGGAAAAACTGAAGAGTTATACACGAACGAGAAATTTCATCAAGATCTTGGGCGGTGGCCAAATGTAATTTTTCGTTAGCCGCTCGTTGAGCGTTTTTGATAAACGATGAAGTATGGCGAAAGTGCACTGCAACTACCTACGTCCGTCTGTCCGGATAAAGTTCTGGACGCGTCGCGGTGTCGGCAAAAGGAGATAAATTAAATCTCGTTGACGCGTCAAGTAAGTGGTAAAGGTGTGCAGTTTCTGTGGCAGTCATTAATTACATCCTGACTGTTTTCGCGAGTAGTAGGAGTGTGGTGTTTCCGTGTCACTTCTATATATTTCTTTCATCACATCGTAAACATGTTGTATACTCACGCCAGGTTCGGCTACAGTCGTCAGGGTTGTCTGCCCTCCATTTCTGGGTCTTCCATATCGTAATTTGTTTTGTTAGGCGTGTTATTAATAAAAATTGTCTCGATAGGTTGACTTTCTGGTGTATCGCTAATAGCATGGATCTCTACATGCCAAAGTAATGAAATTCCATCAAACCGGAACTTTCAATCACTTCCTTTACCAATAGGTTGTGTCGATCAATTCAACGATCTGGGTATTTTGCCAAACACCGTTTTAAATTTTTTGTCGCATATTTTTCATGTCTTCGAACGTATTTTGAGTTTGCATTGTTATCAGTAGTGCGAGCATTAAGCGCCATTTTGCGCAACGTTAAACTTTCCCGTTACCATAGAAGACTTATCCATACGACTGGTTGTTCCTACCTGACTTCTAAATATATATCCCATCTTGCAGTTCCAGTGAGCCAAGTTTTTGCAGTAGTGTGGGTCATTGGTGAGAGCTGTCGTTGGTTTCTCATTATAATTATTACGGTTTTTAGCTTAGCTGTTTTTTAAGGTTATTAGAATTAAACTGGATAGTGTATGTTTTACTCTTCCCATGGCGTATAGAAAATTTGTCTGTAAATTTAATAGCCCGCCTCGGTGCTCCATTTTCCGCTTGAAAAAATTTAATATTGCCGCCGCTGGCGGTACCCAGACCATAACTCACGTCACTTAGTTCACTTAAATTCGCGCTTGATCGATTTTCGCGCTGTTCGATTATAAAATTTAATTAGAAAATGTTTGTTTTAATATAGGCACTCCTGCAAGCTCACGATGTCGTCGCCCACGAGGTTTACGGCGAGGACGCGGTCAGAGCCACGCCGCCCCCCATCATGCCGTACCTCAATGGCGGCGACGATATGGACGGTCCCAACGGCGACGTCGAGATGGAGAACGTCACCAGGGTGCGTCTGGTGCAGTTCCAGAAGAATACCGACGAACCGATGGTAAATCGAAGTCACTTCAATATTTTGGTCACTTAGAGTCCCTCATTTGGCCGCCATATCAGCAGCAGCAAAACTACGTTTTTTTTTTATTAGACTTTGCTTTAAGTTGTCCTTGGATATTATTGAGGCACCTTAAGGCACTTAGTATCGCGATTTTCGCAGGGCATCACGTTGAAGATGAACGAGGACGGCAAATGCATCGTCGCTAGGATCATGCACGGCGGAATGATCCATCGGCAGGCCACCCTCCACGTGGGCGACGAAATCCGCGAAATAAACGGCATCCCCGTCGCCAATCAGTCGGTGGGGGCGCTTCAGAAAATACTCGTAAGTTTTCAGCGGCGGGGGTTAGAGTGGAATTTTTAAGCTTTTTTTTTCAGAGGGAAGCCAGGGGTTCGGTCACGTTCAAAATAGTGCCGTCGTATAGGAGCGCACCGCCGCCCTGCGAGGTAAGGGCTTGTCTACATTCGCGTACCTTCATCGCAGCTCATAATTTCACAACAGATGACATTATATCCAAAAAAAGCATCCGTTAATTTTTTTCGTATACCTGTCACAATGTGGTTGTGGTTGCAAAAATATTTGGATAAAAAGTCATCGGTTTCGACCCTGTCCCTACTCCACCGCTCCCCCATTCGCGTGCATGTATGCTGTGTTCGCCCTACGTCGTTCATTTGTTTCCGTTAAGCACATCTCATCAAACCAGTTTACAGGAACGTGTTATGCTGTGTTTGAGCGGATCACGAATCTCGTAGGAATTCGGGCCGCGTATTCGTTTAATTATTTACGTGCGATAGTGACGCGCACGCGTGAATCCGCTATAACACGCTCGCCCTCCCCACCGTCCCCGAAACACGTCGTCGCTTGACTAAATTTTGTTTTTTTTTTTTGTCTGTAGTTGTTCAGGATCAAACCCCTGCCAGTACTAGTAAGTACCCGTACGAAAAATTGACGGTTAGGTACTGGTTCATGGTGTGATGTGCTTTACCTTAGGTGTTTTAGTAGACTTACTCTGTGCCGGCTGAAGTTTTCTAATATTTTCTAATATTTATAACCTCAACAAAGTTTGAGAATGGAAATATCACGGACAAGAGTTAATGAAAATGTGCGGTCAAGGATTAGGTTAAGAGACAAGCGTTTATGCGTTTAGTAACTTTCGTTTTGCATGTTGCCTGCCACCGTCTTGTCGAATTTCACGGCATTAGAGCTGTTACAGAGTGTAGCGTAGGACGAAGACGGTAACTCCGTTTGTAATATAAAATCTTGCGCGTTTTCTTGCAGATATTCGTTCGAGCTCAGTTCGATTACGACCCCCTCGAGGACGACCTCATCCCCTGCGCTCAAGCTGGCATCGCCTTTAAAACTGGCGATATTTTACAGGTGAGCGAAGACGAGCCATCGATATCCGTGAAAAAATCTCCCAATTTTTTCTATTTTAGATTATAAGCAAGGACGACCACCACTGGTGGCAGGCGAGAAAAGATTCGGCAGGGTCAGCGGGTCTGATCCCGTCCCCCGAGTTGCAGGAATGGCGCGCGGCATGCGCCGCGATGGAGAAAACGAAACAGGAACAAGGTAAAAAAAGGGTCGAGGGGGGTCTATCTCTCTGTAGCCGTAGCGTCTCTGTCTCCGTGCCCCTCGTCCGACCACCCTTTTTCCTACTAGGCTTTTAATTTTTGGCCCCCGTCCTTTCGCACCGCTTCGTATTGTTCGCTTGCGCCTGAAACGTTATTGTACGGGGCTGCATTTTTTTAATAATTGCTCGCCATTTTTTTTTCACCCGCATGCGCGTGTAAATACGACAGCTGTATAAATAACAGAAGTGATAAACCGCGACGTCTATAACTACGAAACGGGGGGCGGTCTGTTAGTTTCGATTAGTTTCGGCCAGGTTTGCCTCCATGGCAACAGATCGCCTTCTTTTTACCGGTTGTCTCAGTAAGGACGACGAGGTACGGGTATTAGAAATTTGAAAACATGATTTATGTGGTAAATCGGCCAATTCTAATCTCGGTTTTTAAAACCAAGTTTCTACGACTATACTGGAGTGAGTACTGTTTTAAGGCTGAGATAAGTTCGAACCTTTTTTGTTTAATGCTCTTCGGTGAAGCAATGAAGGGGAAAATGGTGGGAGCGTTCATGCATTTTCGAATATAAACGTCGATTACGCATTTGCTTAGAGTCGTTTAAAAATCGGGTTTTATGGATGTTGCCCCATGGCCACCAGATGGCGTTTTGTGACATAATCGCAGTAAATTAATTTTCTAAAACAATGCTGCATTAGGATTTCTTTTATGGTCTGTCTCAATCTTCATGGTGTTGACTTTAGACGAACCCTCTCGAATAAAACTTTAACCATACACTTGGGTAAAGCCATTAACAAAAAAAATTATTCTTCCTTGAGTGACAAGGCAGGGGCGGGCCAGGAATATATCTTCATAAATATAATAATAATAAAATAAATAAAATAATAAAATCAATATAAATATAAACCGTGCCACCCTCCATAGAGTTGTTTGTGAAATGGGATTTAAGCATTGCAAAATAGATAAAATGCAAGTAGTATTGGAATCACAGATTACCGGCTTGGAGATTTTACCTTCAGGAAATTAAAAGATATAGATTAGAGAACAGATATATAATTTTCGTTGACGAAACATGGTTCAAAACACACCACACCGTATCCAAAGCATGGGTTGATTCCACTCAAAACTATCAGACGAATGGAATCAGACAGATTACGCTCTTGAAGATTTAATTAACTTCAAGGAATTAAAAGATATGGATCAGACAACAGATTCATAATTTATATTGATGAAACATAAGACACTGTATCAAAAGAATAAGTTCATTCCTCTCAAAACTGACGAAAGCACCTTCAAACTAAGCAAAATGCGTCATCACGATGGGTACAGAAGACGGATTTGTCCCAAACGCTTGCTGTTGTCTTTAGAGAATACTAAGGATTCTAGCTTGGATTCGATACAAGAAACCGACTTTTTTGAAAGTTGGTTTCAAAACAATCTTTTAAAAAATATTCCCAATAACGGTGTTATTGTTATGGATAACGCAAGCTACCATAGCCGTCTGCTGCGCAAACCACTAGCCTCATCAAGTTCAAAGATATTTATTTTGAATTCAAATACAAAAAAGCGCCACTTTTGGGAGTCCTGAATTCATATCCAATTAAAAAACAGTATGTATGTGACAATTTGGCTGAACAGGCTGGGCATGGCCTTTTACGTCTTCCTCGATATCATTCCATGCCTAATCCCATGGAGCATATATGGAACCAAGTAAAATCAAAGCTCAGAGCAGAAAATGTTTCTCCTACTTTAAGTCTCAGTGTTATAAATTTAGAATGTAATTAATAAAATACCTATTGAGAGCAAGACACATTCAGTACCACACATATAAAAATTAATTAATCTCAATGACGACTCTGATAGTGAAACAGACCTAGAGTTCAACATTTAAAATAAAAATGTAATTATATATAGATATTCCTAGCTATGAATTTATTGTATGTATTTAATATCATTATTTTTTAATGTTATTTAACAAGATTATTCTCAAACAAAAAAAAGATAATATCAGCAAAACCTTTGCGAATGCGTTCCTAATGTTCTATCTTTTAATGTCTACCGGACCCGAGTTTTCTTGCCGTCGGCAGGTAACGTCCATAATTGCAGACAAAAGCCAGCATGATGAAGATTGAGACAATATATCAAATAAGAGTTCAATAACGGACAGAAAACCTAATCTGTATTCTCGCCTAAAATTTTGGGACGAATTTCGACTTTACTTGTTAATATCTGAGTGTTGACATTATTACTGCGTTGTGAAAACCATATCGGCTTTCAATTATTGATTATCTTTAAAAAAAAGATTTTGTCTACTAATCAAAAGTAATTCATATTAAGCCATCCTTCCTTCCTTCAGTTTATGACTAACAGGATTAAACACGGTATCTCCATAAATCTAATCTTTATCACAAAATTATAAGATTGAAGTCTCCACGCTACCTTTTCAAAAAAATCAGCTTTCGCAAAGACGTTCACAATTTAAAGTTTAGATTTAAAGGCCTCAGCTCACCCCTCCACGTCAGTCCTCTGAAATTTTTGAAAGATCCTTTACATATCATCATCATCAGTAGCAGTACAACCTTGGGTGAGTCTTGGCTGCAATTTGCCTCCATTCCACTCTTCTGTCATGTGAGGTTGGTACGTGTATCCCATTGCCCTGAGATCTGATATTATAATATCTCGTCATCTTAAACGAGGTCTGCCTAGAGGTCTTCTCCCAGCTGGATTGTCACTCCAGACTAGCGTTGTAATTCTATTTTCTGGACTACGTTCTATGTGTCCAAGCCATCGTAGTTTCCTGGACAATGTCCGCTTCCTGATGTAGGTCTCTCAGTTCATTGTGGTTTCTTCGTCTGTAGTTTCCCATTTCAGTATCTTTTACAGGGCCAAAGATTATTCTTAGGATTTTTATTTCAAAACACCTCAGCTTTCTCTCGTTTTGCTTTGTCATTGTCCAGCTTTCGCACCCATACATTAGTCTTAGTATGGTTTTATAGATTTTAATTTTGCACTTTCCCGATACCACTTTAGATATAAGGACTCCAGAAATAGCAAAGAGCCGTCGGTTTTTCGGCTTTTTAGTTCTTCTATTATGCTGTTGTCCTCTGTTATCGTCACTCCTAAATACTTAAAACTAGTCACTCTTTCACACGGTCTCTGTTTACCTGTCTGCTGACACACATATATTTTGTTTTTTCTTCATTTATTCTAAGGCCCATTTTGCTGGCGTTCTTTTCTATTTTTACAAACATTTCTTTCACTCCACAGACCGATCTTTCTATGATATCGATAGCATCAGCGTATGCCAGAAGCAAGGGTGTTCCATTTGGTGAAAAAATTTCTAGGTTTTTCTAGGGCGATATTGAACAGCAAGTGCATCTCCCCGTCGTAGGCCGTTGTTTATGTGGAAGTCTGACAATGTTCCTATACGGACTGCACTTTTTGAGCCGCTAACGCACATCTGTATCAGTGCTATGAGTTTTGCTGGGATGGAGAGTTCTGACATGGCTTCCCACAAAGCGGTCCTCTTCACCCTGTCATATCCCAGTCTAAAGTCTATAAATAGATGATGAATTCCTTTCTTAAATTCCCAGCATTTTTCTAGCATCATCCGTATGGAGAAAATTTGATCTGTGGTTGATCTATTGGGTCTAAAACCACATTCATATTCTCCTATTACATTTTCTGCATATGGTGTCAATCTATGACATGGCTAAAACACATAATACATTGGATCAGTCTCTTAAATTGCTAAACAATACCTTTTCTAAAAAAAAACGGAGGCACAAAATATCTTATTTTGTTCATTCGAACCGTGTCCTTTTCATTGTACATCAATACGTGAATAAAATTCTTATTATTATTAATCAACTTTTGAAAACGCGTTAAATAAAAAGATTTGAATTTGTCTCCGCTTTAAAACAATATCCACTCCCAATTCGATGGCCACTTTCCAAAATAATTTCCAGCATTTTCTCTTCTTTTTGAAATTTTCAAAACCGTCCGATTCCCTCCTATCTCGTTGACATTATTGAAACATCCGGCATATCGTAAGCGATCTTCGAGCTAACAACTCCTACCCCCGTGTAGAGTAAAAACTAAACCCTCTAAAACTGTATACCGGTGTGACATGTGTCTGTTTGTTGTGATTATGCCAGACTTGGAGAAAGGATGCACTTCTCACGCAGACGGTTGCGATGGTTCAACAGGTACTGATAAAAGCAATGATTTGTTTAGAGTTTTGCGTTGCTCGTCGGGGCCTTTTTTTATGGTTTTAATACAGGGTGTTCGCGAACGCCGGACTACCGGCTAGTGTCGATGAGGAATGCACTTTTTTTGAGTAGCCCGCGTAGGCGTTCGAAAAGACTAGCCGATCGTAACGCGGGGGTCGCGTTTTTGGCGTCGCCATTTTTTTCGTCTTTCGAGCGTCGAGCATGCTTCCCCCTTCACGCTTCGCCCCGCTAATCGTTTTCCGTTTCAGTCAATTGCTCAATATTCGGGAGGAAAAAGAAACAGTACAAGGACAAGTATTTGGCCAAGCACAACGCAGTATTCGACCAATTAGATTTAGTTACCTACGAAGAAGTCGTCAAATTACCCAGTAAGTTTGTTGAAGTCTCCGGCTTTCTTTAGGTTGCGAAGACATACCGACGGTCAAAAATGTCTCCGTACACATAGTATTTTTTCAGTTTTTAGTTTCTTCTTTCATATATTTCAAGTAGATATTGACAATCTCATTAAGAGTAATTAAAATAAATTAAAAATCATTTGAAAAATAAGGCCGTTTTAGAAGCAACGAATATTTCAAATAAGTCTCCATACACTTTAATAAATCACTATTCGGAACCGCAGGTGAAACCGTTAATTACGCTGGTCTGCAAAAAAAAAGGGCCAACGGGGATAGATTCAAAACGTTTAAATCATTATATTTATCATAAAAAAATTTAAAGGAGGATTTCATTGCCAACCAGTGTTATCAATATTTTATCAAGTCAGCTTGTATCAAATTTCACTTAAACAAATGAATCATACTTGTTTAATTTTGACGCCACTTTTAAGTCAGTGGTTTTGAAGTAAAAGCAACTTGAGCTCTAAAAATTGCGAAATTTCAATTGCGCTTCAAAAAATCATAGCAGATTTATGGAAAATGAAAAAATCCTTTAGGGATATTGGTAAAATGATAAAAAAATCACATTCAACTGTACAGTCTGTAATAAATCAATACAAATACAAAAGCGCTCCAAAACTTGCAGAGTTCTCAAAAAAAATTAGCCTTCAAACGAAACTGCAGGTTATAACGGCGGCGTCGCAAGAAGGAAACAATTATTTTCGGAAAAAAATCAAATAAACCTTTGGAATTTGGGAAAATGTTATCTTTAGTGGCGAAAAAAAATTAATCTTTTTGGGTCAGATGTACGCAGACTTATTTAACATCGTTTCTTGCTTCTAAAACTGCCTTATTTTTTATCGTACAAATAAAGTGTTTTAAATAATTTTCATTTTATTTTTATTACTCGTAATGAGATGAGCCGATATTTACTTGAAATATTATTTCTCATTAAATGCAAGTGAAAGAAGACTTTTTTGACCTACTGTATTTTAAATTACCAATTTACCGACGAATAAATGTCTGCCGTAACCTACGAGATTATGTTCGCTTCTTTTTGGCCGCCATTTTTTTTTTAATCTTGCGTTCTAGTGACCGACCCGGCGTTCCAGCGTAAGACGCTGGTGCTGTTGGGCGCCCACGGGGTCGGCAGGAGGCACATAAAAAACACCCTGATCGCAAGACACCCCGACCAATATGCGTACCCTATACCGCGTGAGTATATAACCACCTTCCTCCAAGATTGCCGTTAACCATATGGCTATTAGATAATATAGTGGCCCTACCACGGTAAAAGGTGATGCGCCGCAGGTGGCTATGATATTTTCGTGGACCTTTTTCGCATACGTCACCCCAATTAACTGATTTGCTACATTGCCGTAATTTATCTGAAATCCTATTATAATTGGCAACGCCGTGATAGGTAATTGCTATTGCCAGAGAATACTTACAGTCAGTGCCGTTGTTGTTTACATTTTTGGTGGTTATGATTCTCTGCCTACCTTTTTCTTGTTTTTGTGAAAAAAAATGTGCCTATATACGGGTAAGTGTTGCCTTATTTACAAGTTAATTTAAAAGATTTAAAAGTGGTCTCTATAGGACTCCCACTCACACACTTGTGATTTAACAAACGGCAATACTTAAATGGAAATATAAGAAAACAATTAGGCTACAGGTTTTACTAGCACAATCACCAGAAATACGCCTTGGCAATTTCAAATCCTTGTAAAACTCAATGTGGGAAAGTTTTCGCTTGTCACCACGCATAGTGAAAACGATATTGTCTTTCGTTTGGTCAAAAATTACAGAAATTATTACCGCAGAAAGTGGAGAACTACCGGAATCAGTTCGGCTGCAACAGGAAGAATTTAAACGATTAATCTGCAGGATATTTTTGGCAAGTCTAAAGGCATTACAGGAAATTTTTGAGGATTACTAGGAATTCTAGCCAACTATTCAAAATTTTAGGGTACTTTATTTGTAGACCACCTACCTCCTTAGAGAGGTAAGTGAAAACTGCAGTACGTACACACACAATTTGACACCACAGATTTTTAATCTTCAGGTTTTTTTCAAATTTATTTAGTTATTTTTCTAATAATTAACAATAGTTTAATTTATTATAAATGAACATTTTTTTTTATTGCTTTCATCTTATTTTTTTGCAATTTTTAAAGGTGGTGATCGTCTCAAATCAAGTAATACAAAAGTTCCTTGAAAAGAGTAACACTGAAGCATCTTATGTCGGACGCCATTGTGCAAATAAAAAAGAAATATTATTAAGCTAGTAAAAAATGAAGAATATATTTTTATTTAATTTCTTATTGCGTTTATAAGCAGTAATGTATTTTATTCTTTTCAATAAAGGCCTTATTAAATAATTCTTAATAGGACATCTTCCTTTTAGAACATTTTACACTTTTAAAACATCGCGAGCATTTCTGGAAAAGTAATTGATGCTAGTATCTAAAGCAGATAACAATTGTTGCGAAATATTTTTTATACTAGTTTATACTAGTTTTTAATTTTCTTGGTTACATTTTCCAATACCTACAGTTTTTTAACGAAATTGTCCATTGGTAATTTCCATAATTATATATTTGGGAGACGAAACTTTCTGCAATTACTAGACGTGCGATGAAAGAATGAGCGCTCTGTTTATAGGAGGTGCTTCTTGAACATTTTTTCCACTTAGATGTTTCCTGTGCGATATCTAGTACCTCAAAGTTATATTAAGCTTACATTTCGTGAATTCGAGTTTATTTACATTTTCAATAAGTTTATAGAAACAAACGTTTGACCCTATTATACTGAGGACGCCGATCCGCGTGCTGTAATTCAGCGTTTAACAACGCTTTCCACACCTTTTTTGATATTTTGGGAAAATACTGCCGTAAAAATGCAGCATCCAAACATTGACCACCTGCCAGCGGCCATGCTGGATGTTAGAAGCCGTAAGGTCAAACGTCACAATTTGCGCATGCGCATATTGAACAGACCTTTTTAAAATTTTGTTACATAGTTGCTTGACGAGTTCCTGTACTATTAGCATAGGCAGGGCCTCTATATGTCTCGTAGCTGTATGCCCTTAACTAACAACTGTCGCAGATACAACGAGACAACCGCGGGCGGACGAGGAGAACGGGAGGAACTACTTCTTCGTTTCGCACGACGAAATGATGGCCGATATCGCCGCCAACGAGTACCTGGAGTACGGTACCCACGAGGAAGCGATGTACGGCACGAAACTGGACACCATACGCAAGATCCACCAGGAGGGTAAGATGGCGATCTTGGACGTGGAGCCGCAGGCGTTGAAGGTGCTGAGGACCGCGGAATTCGCCCCCTACGTCGTCTTCATTGCGGCGCCGGTACTTCAGAACATCGCCGACGTGAGTGGGGACGTCGCGACGGCACGTGGGGCCCATTTAATTTCGGTTTCGCAGTTCGACGGCAGCTTGGAACGCCTCGCCAAGGAGTCGGAAATGCTGAGGCTCGCTTACGGCCATTACTTCGACTTGACGATCGTCAATAACGACATCGACGACACGATAGCGGCGCTGGAAAGCGCCATAGAACGGGTGCAGACCACCCCGCAATGGATACCGGTGTCGTGGGTCTACTGACAACAACAGAACCTGGACTTTTACGGGTCTCTGGAGTACTTTTGAGAACGCCGACGTCGGAAGGAGCGGCACGGGCGTCGCGCGCACATTTCCAATGCAATTTTAAACAAACGATTTCGGAATATCAGTTTCTCGTGTTAAGCGTTAAGTTAAGGTAAGGCTTGCTGGTATACGTTACGTTTTCGGTTCTAGTAAGCCCTTCGATTAGGTAGGCAAATATTCAACCATGATTTGTAACACTAACGCTTAGGGCGAGGCTTTGTGACGAACCCCATCCCTGTTTAGCATCCATTTCAGCAGTAGCAGTCGATTGATTTATCTCGAGGGGCAAATGATGTGTTCTTTTTAACAAAACCGACAACTTAATCCATAAACATATTATGACGTCACCGATCAGCAAGACCGCCAAAGCAATATCATTCGTTAGGTCGTTACGGCGAATTACACATCTCGTAAGTAATAATTTAGGCTAAGTAGGTGGGAAACTAAACTTCACGGAACAAGAGGAAAAAGTGAAGTCGTTTAAACGGTGCTAATGGCCGCAGAACATTTAAATGCTAAATAAATAAAAAAAAAGTGACGGTAACTTTCAAGAGGTTAACTTTGGGATATCCATTTTTTGGACCTGTCATGATGATCCCAGATTTAACCTTTCAAAGGTTGTAATTTACAAAAAACCGCTTAAATCTCAAATCTATTAAGCAAAGAACAAATATGATTAAATAATTTGCAAATGAAAAAAAAACCAACTACAAGCAATGTGACTGACCTCGAGATATGGATGTTTGCTTCAAAATGACAGTTAAAAAACGTTAAATGATTTAATCAGTGCTTATTGCCACAGAACATTTAAATGATATATAAATAAATGGGAATAATAAGGGACAACAACGATTGAGCCGCTAAATATCCTTTGATTGAACCTATCACGAAAGATCCAAATTTCGCTTAAATATTTGCTGGATAATCCCAGATCTAACCTGTCATAGGTTGAGTAAAACTTTGACATTTACAAAAAATCGTTGCTTAGGAAATTCGCTTAAATCTCAAATCTATTAAGCAAAGAACAAATGTGATTAAATAATTTGCAAATGAAAAAAAAACCAACTACAAGCAATGTGACTGACCTCGAGATATGAATGTTTGCTTCAAAATGACAGTTAAAAAACGTTAAATGATTTAATCAGTGCTAATTGCCACAGAACATTTAAATGATATATAAATAAATGGGAATAATAAGGGACAACAACGATTGAGCCGCTAAATATCCTTTGATTGAACCTATCACGAAAGATCCAGGTTTGGCTGGATAATTCCGGATTTAACCTGTAATAGGTTGAGCGAACCTTTGTAATTTACAAAAAAATCGACAAAAAGGTAAACTAACTAAATGCAACGTGGCTGACGTCGAGATATTAATGTTTGCGTCAAAATGACAATTAGAAAAGGTGATGATTTAAACGGTGCGAATTGCCACAAACCATGTAAATGAAAAATGATAAATGAGAATAAAAAGAGACAACAACGATTAAGCGGCAGTAAATTAAACAGGTAAGGTTACCTTTGCTAAGTTGCCCTAAACTGGATAATCCCAGATTTAATCTTAAATCTCAAATCTCGTAAGCACAGAGAAAAATATGCAAATTGACTGACCTCGAGATATGAATTTTTGCTTCAGAATGACACTTAGAGGAGTAGAAAATTTTCTCAAAATATTAGTGAATTAGTTGCGTAGATAGGAAAAAGTTTCAAAACTAATGAAAGGACTAACCAAAGACTAACGATTTCGGGAAGATCAATGCGGCAAAAAGGAAAAACTCAATAAGGACGATATAAATACAGATTCCTACCCGACCCGACTTGACGTCGTGAAAAAAAAATCGATATAGATTAAAAACTAACTAGTTAATTGTTAAGTGGTGTTTACTGTATTTTTTCTTAATTTCGGTCCATCTTTTTTTTCATTTTCCTTTGTTTCGACAATTTTAGTGTAATTTGATAGCGACGACGATGACGAAGAAGATACAGTAAAACCGCGGTAAATTTTATATTTTAATATAAAGAGTTAAGATCGAATTATTGTAAAATAAAAATAAATAAAGTACCCCCACACTGGTCCCCACAACATTTAGAGTCGTTGATGAAACGCGTCACGTGGGGGGCGTCTCCAGGGGCGTCTCGGCCGTAAAATGTGATACTTTTCTTGTTCATCCCTTGTACCCCCCGTGTCCGCCCATCCTTGTTTGAGTCGTTGGTTTTCCTTGAGGGCCACGAGACGCCGCCCGCGTCCCTTAGCTTTAAAATAACTTTTAAAATAATGTACCCTTTGACTGAATAAAGTACATTTTCGATTTGTTTGTGTGAACCGTCGAGGTCGTCCCGTGGGGAAAAAATGGGCCTGGCGAATATAGTTTAGGGCGGGGCGACCTGGTCGGGGGGAGGGGGGTATTTGTTTTTTCGTTTTCCTTTTAAAACCGTACGGTGCCACCGCGTTTAAAGACTATTTCGAATAAAGAGAAATGTGGTTTTTGCTTCCTGGTTTACGTGTACCTATTAATAACGTTAATTGAACAGATAAATGAATAAACGGACGTTTATAATAAAGTGAAAAATAAAACAATTCAATATTTATAGAATAGGATGACGATCGAGTTAGCATCTCATTAAATTTAACAAAGAAAAACCACTCTAGGTGATGACAATGTAGTTCGATATTTCTGAAATAAAAAAACTGTACCGTTATTGTTGCCGTTTTTCTTTTAACCTGCAGCCCGCATTTTTGAAAATCAATTTTCAGAACCATTTCAGGTGACAAATGGTCTTAAACAGGGATGTTGCCCAACTCCTACTTTGTTTAAAATTTTTATACAAGAAATACTACGAAAATTGAGGCAAAAATGCTCAGATATGGGAATTAAGGTTGGCGACCGATACTTGTCAACATTTTTTGCTGATGATCAGCTACTAATTGCAAATGGTGAAGAGGATATAGATTATATATTAAGGAAATTACAAGATTAATATAAACTAGCGGGAATGAAAATGAACATCGCCAAAACAGAATACTTAAGAATAGGTAAAGAACACGAAGATCCCGATTTGTAGTTAAGACAGGTTAATCAATGCGAAGAGTATAAATACCTTCTGTACAAGACATACAACGCAGAATGCAATAGGGACAGAGGAGTTTACAAGTTTTGAATCTTTTACTTTGGTCCAATCAAATGGCTATAAAGACAAAATTGAGAATATACGGGGCGATAATGACATACGGATCAGAATGTTGGCAGCTAAAAAAAATAACTCAGATATTCTCAGAAGATCATGTCGCATATCTACGTTAGAACACACAATGATGAGATTGCCGTACAAATCGGATACACAGAACAACTGACCGAACTGAAGCAAGACAAATGGTATATTATGGGCATGTTAGACGAATGGAGGAAAATAGGTAGGCTAGAAAAACTTTTAAATGTGGCTCCACCGAATAAAAGAGAACGAAGGAGATTAGCTACCTACCACATGCCTGGATGGAGTTATGACAACTCTAAGGCACCGGGCAATAAACGAAGGGGCCTGAAGAGACAGATATTTGTGGCGATAGAAATGTGAGACGCGGCGGAAGCTGTAGGACTGTCGGTTTAAAAAGGTTATCTGCCCTGGTTTATAAGAACTTTTATTTTTATAGAGGATAAAAGTCTTCTTCTCTAAGCGCCTATCCGTTCCGGATGTTCGCGATCAGCGGCGCTATTTTTAATTTGTTGATGGCGTTCCGGAAAAGTTCTGCTGATGATCTGTTAAAACACGTTCTAAGCGTTGCTAACCAAGATATTCTCCTTCGACCAGGTGTATGCTTAGTGTTACCCAAATGCAAGACTTAGTCAGTCTTGGTCTTGGTCTTGCGCCAATACACCAATACACCTTGGTCTTGTTCTTTGTATTGCACTCCCAGTCTTGGTCTTGGTCTTGCAGCAAGAGTCTCGTCTAGAAATAGATTGGTTGACCCTAACCTTATATGAAATGGAAATGGAGTTGTACTATGAAAAACTCATCAACCAGTACTATTTGAATCGTCGTCACTCATGTTAAATGGTAAACGTGTTACGTTTTCCGAGAACAATAAGATTTGAGTAAAAACAATTATTAAACGAGACTCGAAGCAAAGCTCAATTGAAAATGACTGCTGGAATTATAATTATTTAAAACAGACACTATTTTTTATAATCCCTTCGCTTTGTACCGCGCCGCCTTGGCACGTGTAGGCTCCAAACAAAGGACGCCGCCGTCTCAAGTCAAGGAAAATCGCAAGTTTGGAGGATGCCATGAAAATTTTTGAAGTTAATGATCAAAATTTTGAATTTTGTGCAGCCTACCAGTGTATGATGGCAAGAAGATAGAAGCGAAGCAATCTCGAATTGATAGTTTCTTTAAGCCAAAAGTTTTTATTATTTCTCATTACTTGTTTTCGTTACATATTGAAGTTTTATACTTATTATTAAAATTAATATCACTCAAATACCAAAAATAACTAGCAATTTCATAAGTGCATATGTAATTATTTTAACAACTTACTTTTGATAATAAAGTATGTATATCCTTTGTTATAGGTGCATTTTCTTTTAATTTCGAGTTCGCGTGGATCCTAACCCATGAGTTTTGCATGTAAACATATGAAAAAATATGTCTCGTATTTCGAGAACCTAACATGCCGTAAGTATGAGGACTGATATATTTATTTTATGTCTTGTATCTACTGCCTGAAATGACACTCAGAGCTAACCAAACGACGCAAGAGTCTTGCAGTCTGAGTCCTGTTCTTGCTCAAGTCTTGCATAGTCAGTCTTGGTATTGGTCTTGCTAAAATTAGGAGGTTTTAGTCTTATAAAAATGCAAGAACTAGACTAAGACCAATTTTGCCTTGGAGGATTTGTTGTAATAACCCATATATATCTGGGTTCCTCCTCCTCCTCCAGTTCTGTTTCTTTATTCGTCGAAATACTTCAATGTTGGTAATTTTTATGTCAAAGATATTTTCAATATTCTCCTGTACAGCCATAGATCGAATGCTTCCAGTCTCTTGGTGGTTTCTTTATTGAGTGTCCAAGTTTATACGCCACACAGAAGGACCGAGAAGACGTAGGGAGGCAATAGTCTGAGTTTCATGTGTAAAAAGCAAACTCATTTTAATAAATACTACAAGGAGTTTGGTTTTGAGGATAGAAGTACGAGTGGCTCAAACGTTGCGTACAATTTCGACGCACCCTGTTAAACAATAAAAAAGTAACATCCTGAAGCAAAGGCGCCGAACTTTTGTTCCTGAACACGAAGAACGAGCCTCTCGCGCGCAAGCCGAACATCTTCATCGGCCGCGCATTTTTTCTGCCCGGTTCCGTCGACCTTCCCCCTCTTCGTCGCGGCGAAAGGTCACGCGAACCCATCTCCGGACGATACGGCGACCGCTTCGTCGGCTCGATCCCCTCGACGGAGGGACGATGCTATATTCGCCCCAAGAAGCAGTATCCGAGCTCCCGGACAGTCTTCTTCTTCGTTTTGCTCGAGCGACCGGCTTCCCGCGTCATTTTTTCTTCTGCGACGCGTCGCGTACAGGGCGGACGCGAATCCGCTCGATTTGTTTTTATTTTTTTTTATTGTGTGCGTTCGTGATCGGAGGAGACGTTTGTAGGTAAGTCGCTTTATTTACAGAGGGTGCACAAAGTATAATGATATACGAACTAACCGTTCCTTTTGGCACTCTGTAAGTGCATTACTCGCAGCATCTTTTATACAGGGTGTCACCAAGCCGCGTTGCGTTGCTATTTAGTTAAAAAATCACAAAATTTTATTTCACTCGAAACTTGATGGTTGCGGCATTGGAAATTGGACATTAGAATTAATTGTGACTTTGAGTACGTTAAAAATGTCGAACTTATTCACGTAATGTTTTTGATTTTTATTATATCGTCTAATTGTTTCTTTTGTCTTCTTCGTAGAAAGGTCTGATTTAAATAAATTCTTCTATATTAGAATTTAATAGCATCTCATGATCAATAAGTATACTATTTAATTAATGTTATTTATTTGAATTTTGCTTTACCCAGGTTACAACAATTCTTTAGATTGATTTCGAAAAAACGCTGTGCAAGGAGTCTGCTGCGTACTAAGTGCTACTCAGTCTACAAAGTTGTTACGCAACTTTTTATGGCGTCTTGTCCTAGAGAGACGCATTGTTTTTCTATCGTGCTTCTGCGGACCACCATGGAACTTTCGCAAAATCGATTTAATTTTTTCAAACATGCACCCTATATAAAATGTATTTCACGTCTCGCCCAACTTTAAAGTTGCTGCAAACTGTGGTAAATATAAAATTTATACAAACAACAGCAATTTCCAATTATATATCTCGCGTACCCTGTATGACAAACGAAACCTGAAACTCTGTCTTCATACAATTTGCGATACTGTATAAACCAAATTATCCCATATTTTATAGTTCTTCATTTACGGCTACTAATTTACACAGGAAGAATGCAATTTTCATTTGAATTTGTTCAAATATCTCGAACAGCGTATGTGATAGACGACAACCGTAAAAACAAAAGAAATATCATCTAAACCAATCAGCCATATTTTTTAGGAAGTGTGATTTACGGCAATTAATTTTCTATGGGTATTTTAGATTTTTATCTGTAATTGAAAAACCCTGTATATAATAATAAAAGTTGTAGTCCCGGATTTCCCGCGTATCCTGGTTCAAGAATTTTGGCGATAGGTTAAATAGTTTTCGAGAAAAATATATTTTTTTTAAGCAAAAATAACCCAAACAGAAAAAATCATTTTCAATTCAATCAAATTCTAAAGTTTGAGTTAAGTTCAGTTAAGTTTAAGGCACTAACTGTATTTCATATTGTAGCACGAAATATCCCGAACACCCTGTACAACGTTAAATAAAAAAGATTTAGGTGTCTATACCACCATACCATGTCAAATAAACTGACACATAAAACACATCCTTCTAGTTTTAGTCAATTGTCTTTAAGAGAAAAGTCCATTTTGTAGTTTTTTGCAACTTACCGACGCATTCTGTGCATTTTCAAAAAATGTTATTCTTAACGACTTTTACATCCGGATTTTGCGTGTCTATTCGCTCAAAAATTGTTTTGATATTTGTTATCGTTTTTGAGAAATATATATACGCACACTTATCGTGTTTCATAGCGATGTACGAAAAACAGTGGAAAATCGCACAAAAAAGATGGACACCAAAATCCAATCGCCGTCATTTCTTATGGGATTATGTGTCCCTTGGGCTGTTTCAAATGAGCTAAATGTCAGCTCCCATGCTCAAACGCTTCGTCGCGGTCGTATGAAGCGTCGACAGAGAACAGACATCAGAGAACAGACAAAAAATAAAAACGTTTTTTTTTTTTTCGGCGCTGACTGATAAAAAGTAGTCAACGACCATTCTTTTTCATATTACTGCTTACATATTTATTTGCTTTTTTATTATCTGTAAATTATTGTTTAGTAATTAATTACTAACATTTTTAATAATTTATTTACTTAGAAGGTGGTGAAAGTTCCGCCAGCATTAGCGATGTATCCGTGGAAGTGACGACACACTAAGTTACAAGTCAAATCATAAATATTTCACTTGATATCATGTTTTTGTATTAAAATAATCACAACAATAAGAAGCCGAAACCCACAGCAAGCCAAAATAGTGCCCAATTGTTTTTTTCGTCGTCGACGTCGCATTTTTATAACAAAAAAACGTTTTATTGCGAATCCTAAATTTTTTTTTTCAAAGTCCTTTTTTTTTAATGTGAAGTATGGTAAAGTTATATAAATAGGGCATTTCAATTTGAAAAAATGACTTTTTCCAATATTTTCATTAAAAATTTTATTGTTCCTTTTTGATCACCATGTGTTTCCTTATCTTTAATATGTATTTATATTAAATTAACCCCAAGTATATAACAAAGCTTCCGTTTTTTTTTTTTCAAAAATTATCTTTTAGTCACCGTGTTCGAGGGACGCCCGGTACACTCGCTTTTGGAGATCATTTAACGACTTAATTAAAAAAAAAACAACCCAAACTGGTGTTAAATATTCAAGAGGCCTTTCACTTTTAATTCAAAGACGCATTTCCATTGTCGACAATAGAAAATAAAACGAGCGAATCTCATAAAAAAAAGACGTGTAATACACTAACGAAATAACGCAGCAGTCATGGTGGAAACAACGCGGAGGACGCTAAATCGAAAACAAAATGCCGGAATGCCGATCGGCGAGGTGGTGGGTTTTTACTTTTACCGACGACACTGACCGGTGCCAATTTTAAGGTGAACATCATATCGCGAGCTAGTTGCGTAACCTGTTTTTTTTTTCGACCGAATGAATAATTGATTTCTGACGTTGCAAGAACGGACCGTCTAATATGGGACCTCGTGCTGGGCGATTTTAATGCATCCGAACGCTCCAGATTTTAACGAAGCAAGTTTCGTATCTATCTCTTGATTAAATGTCAAAGGTCGATCACTGACGAGCGTAATTTGCGGTTGTTACCGACACTACTCTCGTGTCCGGCCTAAAAGAAGTGTGGTTGATGGTCGATGATAATGATGGTTTACCAAAACCGGAAATAGTTTTTTTTTTAATGACTTGGATTGGATCCATACAAATACACGTCCTACTCCTCTACTTCCCAGTTTCCATTCCTTCCGGTCTTCCCAGTCTTCTGGTTTTCTTCTTTTCCATCTTCGGGAGTCTTTTTCAACCTATTTTCTCTAATTGGCCATACCCTATTCGTCGTCGGTTGTCGTTGGTCTATTTCCTCAAGGGTAGTCTTGTCTGAAAAAAGGATCAAGGCTCAACCAATCTTTTCAGATGTCCCATGTGTGGACAATGATTTTGAATATTGTGTAGGTTCCTGTGCAATAGATAGGAAAAGAATTTTGATAGTAGCATGTTATCGTTCTCCGAGTGGTGATGAGCGACGAAATGTAGGGTTAATAGACAAGTTTTTTGCCAAGTGACGTATAAGAAACAAAACACCATCAATTTTCTGACATATACTACGTCTTATTTTTGAAATGGGACACCGTATATATTATAAATGTGTTTAATACAATATCTTGTGTAATCGCTTCGTCTTGAGGATTGGTTTCATCTTTATTCCTAGACGGACCTGGGAAGTGCTTTTAATCGTTGTTATATAGTTTTTTTGTACTATAAAACGTATGTGAATGCGTCATCTAAAAATAAAAATAGCATAAAATAATTTATTGCTCAAACATGCATAAACAACACATATTTCAAACGTACGTTTCAAAGGAACTTCCATAGGCTACTGTAATACTTTTTACAAAACTTCTGGAAAAGTTTACTCATACACAAGCAATCTAAAATTGAGAGGTCCTCTCTTAAAATGTGTTTAATAGTTTTTTTTTAATAGTTTTTGTTTTTTCAATGAAGTATTAAGTTTTGTGTACACGATGATAGAGAACACATATCATTTCTGTATCTGGTATCGTACATGTGAAAGTCGGAATTCTTAATTTTTTTTATTTTCGTGGACATTGATAGATGAAAATTGAATTTTTTTTTTAAATAGTGCCTTACAGTGATCCTTATTTTGTGCACAACACAAAGTTCGAACGATCTTTTTTTGAAGATTCTATCTGCCTCCGAAGTTACTAAAATAAAATGTTAAAAAAATAGTAGTTAGTTATTCGCGTTTTCATGGACTTTCGACGGGGAACAGAGGTGAGGGAACGGAGAACAGACAAAAAATAAAAACCAACAGCGTTTGAGTATGCTTTCTTATAGAGATTATGTCTTTTGTAAATAAATATATTTTTTTACATAACCAACATAACTTCAGAAAAAATAGAAGCACTTCAACTGCTGCTTATTCGTATTTCCGTAGTATAATATCTCTGATCGAGAATGGTTAATGCTCGGTTGGAATTTTTTGCGATCTAATTCGTGCGTTCGACTGTGTTGATTTTACGGAACTTGGGGAAGCTCTACACGCTTCGGGTATAAGGGTAAGCCTCTGGGTCAGTAGTTTTTTAGAAGATCGTTCTCATTTTGTATAAGTTTTATAAAGGAAAATGTTAATTCTGCTAGTCAACGCATAGAGATGGGACAAGGGACAGTTTTAGGCCCTTTACTCTTCACGTTATATATAAATTGTATTTTGAAAATTTTACCTGATACGTTTTTTGTAATGTATGCGGATGATCTTTGCTTGGTGTTGTGTGAAAATGACGATGCCCTCTCAGAGAAATGCTGTAGGGATAGATTAATAACATGGTTTGGAAAAATGAAGCTATATTTCAACGGAAGCAAAACTCAAACGATAACTCAAAAACAATGTGACGATTTTAATATCTGTTTATGCAATGACACTCTTGCAAGTCGGTGTACTGTGAGGTTTCTAGGATTGAGTTTGGATGAATGTTTAATCTGATAGCCTCATTGTGATATTCTTATTTCAACACTAAATAGTGTATGGGCTCAGTTTGTGCAGAGCATCTGTAAATGCCGATAAAGTATTTTTGGCTCGAAAACGTATAGTATGGAGTATTGCACACATTTCCATTGACCTAGTACAGAATTCTCATACTGGCGAATCTTTTCATTTTTGAAATGTCATTGTATGTCTCTGACAATTTATAG